GGGCGGCATTTGGTGCGGCAGTTAAGATACTGCCTGGGATGCCCGCATTCCGTGTCACAGCACCTGCCTTCAAGTCCTGGCTCCACTTCACTTCCTGTTCGCTGCTAACGCATACCCTAGGAGGCAGCAGGCAGTGGCTCATGTCAGGGGCTCCCGCCACCTGTGTGAGAGAACTGGATTGAGTTCCTGACTCCTGGTTTCAGCCTGGCCCAGCACTAGCTGTTGTGGGCAATTGGAAAGTGAACCAGCAGCTGGAGTCAGTGGGTCTCTCTCTCTCTCTCTCTCTTCCAAATAAAAGAAAGGTTGTTTTGAGAGGCTCTGGAGAATAGGCGCCCACATCATCAGTTCCCAGGATTGCCAAGGGAAGTAAATGAGAAAAAAGGGCTCCCGGGATCTTCAGCAGAGCGCTTAGGGAATGGTTCCCAACGAGGGCCTCAGCAGTGCCTTCCCTGGGCAGCAACACCGAAGAGAAGCCTGCAGTGTTCCGGGCAAGATGGCGAAAAAGACACCAGGCCAAAGAAAGCAACCCACGCAAGAGCCAAGATGGCCTTCGGACGTGGGGTGCTGATAGCAGGCTGGGAGCAGTGACTTCACACAGGCATCTGGTGTGTCTGCAATCGCGGTCCCTGCCTCCCCTGCTCCCCTCCCTCACCAACCGCTCATTAAAAGAACCTGGTGACAACATTGCATTGCAAGAAAAGTATAAAGAGGTGGCCGGCGCCACGGCTCACTAGGCTAATCCTCTGCCTCGCGGCACCAGCACACCGGGTTCTAGTCCCGGTCGAGACGCCGGATTCTGTCCCGGTTGCCCCTCTTCCAGGCCAGCTCTCTGCTATGGCCCGGGAGTGCAGTGGAAGATGGCCCAAGTGCTTGGGCCCTGCACCCGCATGGGAGACCAGGAAAAAAAAAAAAAAGCACCTGGCTCCTGGCTTTGGATCAGCCGCGGCGGCCATTGGAGGGGGAACCAACGGCAAAAAGGAAGACCTTTCTCTCTGTCTCTCTCTCTCACTGTCCACTCTGCCTGTCAAAAAAAAAAAAAAAAAGTATAAAGAGGAACCCCACCACCACTACCCAGGGGTAGCCACAGTTATTATTGGGGAATATGTTCTCCCAGGTACTCTGTGCGTGTGTGTGTGTGTGAGAGAGAGAGAGAGAGAGAAGAGCGAGAAGCAGGACTCACACTCAGCACACTTTTTAGCGCCTTTCTTTAAAGCAATGGTATTGAAGTGCAAATCACGTACCACCAAGTTCACCTGCGTTAGGTGGACAGATCACCGATTCCCAGTCTGAGAACACTTCCGTGTTGTAGCCGCCTGCTTCGGCCCGCGTGTCGGGAGCGGGTTTCCACGTGCACCATGCCGGCTGTGCGGCCACGTCCAGGCAGTCCCAACCCTGCTAATCACTCGGCTCTTTTCCTTCTTACTACTGTCGTCTCATACATACAGATTTTTGAACCCCATCCAATGTCTCTATAAAATAAATTCTCCCAAGTGGGTTTTCTGGGTCAAAGCAGCAACACATTGCTTTTTTTTTTTTTTCCTGACAGGTAGAGTTACAGACAGTGAGAGAGAGAGAAACCGAGAGAAAGGTCTTCCTTCCATTGGTTCACCCCCAAAATGGCCGCTATGGTCGGTGCTGTGCCAATCGGAAGCCAGGAGCCAGGTGCTTCTCCTGGTCTCCCATGCAGGTGCAGGGCCCAAGCACTTGGGCCATTCTCCACTGCACTCCCAGGCCACAGCAGAGAGCTGGACTGGAAGAGGAGCAACTGGGACTAGAACCTAGCACCCACATGGGATGCTGGTGCCGCAGGCGGAGGATTAACCAAGTGAGCCAAGGCACCAGCCCTGCATTTGTTTTTATTGTTAAATTTGCCCTCCAGAAGGTGGTGAGCCTTTATCTTCCCACCAACAGTTGGTAACAGCCTGCCTTCTTCATACCCTTAGATGACACTGAGTTAGTTGTCAACCTTTTTCTTTGCCAATCTGAAGAGAGAAAAGTGATACCTTTGTTTTTCATTAAATGTGCAAAAAATCATTCAGAGGGTCAGGATATTTCACATATTCCTTGGCTTTTTGTGTTTCTTCTTTTGGGAGTTGCCTTTTCTTTTTCCTCTTGAAATGTTAGTCTTCTGCTTGAAGCCCTTAACATTATTCATACTTCTGTAAGTTACACTATTTTCTAGAATTTATTGTCTTTTAGTTTTGTGTTTTTATATATAAATTAGATATAAATCTAATAAAAATGTTTTGCCCCTAGATTTGTAAAAACATCTTCAAACAAAATAGTGGCCTTCCCACACTTGAAAATACACAAATATGACTTGCCTGGCTCCCTTGAACAAGCATTTATAATTTTGACATTAATTTTTTTTTTGACAGGCAGAGTGGACAATGAGAGAGAGAGACAGAGAGAAAGGTCTTCCTTTTTGCCGTTGGCTCACCCTCCAATGGCCGCTGCGGCCGATGCACTGTGCTGATCCGAAGCCAGGAGCCAGGTACTTCTCCTGGTCTCCCATGGGGTGCAGGGCCCAAGCACCTGGGCCATCCTCCACTGCACTCCCTGGCCACAGCAGAGAGCTGGCCTGGAAGAGGGGCAACCAGGACAGAATCTGGCGCCCTGACCGGGACTAGAACCCGGTGTGCCGGCGCTGCAGGCAGAGGATTAGCCTAGTGAGCTGCGGCGCCGGCCGATTTTGGCATTAATATTATTAGTGCTGTGTACCACGCAGAGATTAAGTGGCACATGGAACAAGGCAGTCCCTTCCCTCGTGGACTCTGCACACTGATGCTTGATGCCTCCTGGACTGTTCAGCTTTCTTGAGATGCTTACTTGCTCAGAGTCTGATGTTCTACAACTCTGGGAATTCAAAATAACTTGCATATTGATATTTGTAGCTAGCCTACAATACGCAGATTATAAACTGTATGCATTCATTGCTAAAAGTAAAACACTCACTCCACACGTGTTCATTTGGCTTCTGTGTGGCAAATCCTGCTGATGGTGTTGGAGATTGCCACACAAGGGCCTGGTATCAGGAAAGCAATTCCACCGGCAGGGTCTAGGTAATCCTGCTTTGTGAAATTATCTGTCTTCATGCTAACATGATATTTTTTCTCTTATCGGTCTGTTAAAACAAAATGAGCGGCCAGCGCTGTGGTGCAGTGGGTTAACACCCTGGCCTGTAGTGCTGGCATCCCATATGGGCGCCGGTTCTAGTCCCAGCTGCTCCTCTTCCGATCCAGCTCTCTGCTATGGCCTGGGAGAGCAGTGGAAGATGGCCCATGTGCTAGGGCCCCTGCACCCGCGTGGGAGACCCAGAAGAAGCGCCTGGCTCCTGGCTTTGGATCAGCACAGCTCCATCCGTTGCAGTCAATTGAGGAGTGAACCATCGGATGGAAGACCTCTCTCTCTCTCTCTCTCTCTCTCTCTCTCTGCCTCTCCTCTCTCTGTGTAACTCTGACTTTCAAATAAATAATTTTTTTTTAAAAAAATGAGCTTCCTACGTGCCCAAAGTGTGCATTAAAATGAGTTTCGGCGTATCTACAATCTATTGTTGTGGACTGAAGCTAAGTGTTTTTTCAAAGTATATTTCAGAGTGTTATCAAATCTTTAGGCCACCTTTCAGTGAAGAGTGAAACACTATTTTACCTTGCCTCATAAACCCACATACATGTAAGTTTACATATACTACACAAATAGCTTCATTCTTTTTATTTTTGAGTTTAGGTACCCTCTGGTGTTATGGCACCATGGGTTAGGTAGCAGCTATAACACCTGCACCCCAGGCTGGAGGGCAGGTTCCAGTCCCTGCTATTAGGTTTCTGATCCAGCTCCCTGGGAAGGCTCAAGTTCTGGGCCCCTGGCACATGCAAGACCTGGATAGGATTTCTAGCTCCTGCTTTCAGCCTGGCCCAACCCCGGCTGTTGCAGACATTTGCAGAGTGAACCAGCATGTGCAAGATGCCTGTCTTTTCCTCTTACTCTGTGTCACTCTGGTTTTCAAATAGATAAATTTTTAAAAAAAAAGTTTGGTAGGAAAAACAATACTGAAATAAATACACCTACATACAAATTCTTTTGCATCCCTTAAAAAAAAAAAAAACGGAATTTTGCCCTTCAGGCCATTTTGTGGGGAAAAGGCAAGAGTCAGGCTAGATGCATCCCAAATGCTGACCCAGGAGATGCAGGGAGAATGTGTCACCCTCACCCTGCTCCCAGTGAATGGTTCATTTAACTCCATTCTCTCCTCCAGTTGAGGGGTGGGGCACCACATTTTGCTTGACAGAAACCTGTCCAGGGCAGGTGTTTGTCACAGCAGTTTAGATACCCTTGGAAGGCGCACACCTCATATCCGGGTGCTTGGGTTACAGTCCCAGCTCCACTCCCTATTTCCTAGCTAACGTGCATGGCAGGAGGCAGCAGGTGATGCCTCAGGAACTTGGGCCCCTGCTTCCCACATGGGAGTCCCAGTCGGAGTCCCTGGCTTTGACCTGGCCCAGCCCTGACTTGTGGGTATCTGGGGAATGAACCAGCAGATGGAAGATTTCTGGCCGACCTGCCTTTCAAATAAAAAAATAAATAAATTGAACTCTGTTTTACTTGGCTGCAACATCTATTTTGGACACGAGTGACCACCAGGACAATTATATTTCATCCTCCAGGTTGCTGCTTTAGGAGGTGAACACATCCATGTTGCTCGACCATGGCACAAGCCGAATTCCCCAGCGCCACAGGGCGCCGGGCATTTGGTCAGCAGCTGTGGCCGCTGCTTGCTACTAAGGTATGAACAAATCACCCCACTGCCGCGCTGAGCCTGGGGTGGTCTAATTAAAGCAGACGCCACTCTGGATACAACTTCACAGGACCTTGGAATGCAGGGGGCCTCTAGTCTCCCCACTCCCACACTCGCTGCGAGGCCTATAGGAACTAAATCACAACCGCCCAGCCTGAAGAGGCCGAGAGGCCACAGGCACTGCCCACGCAAGCCCCAGAGCCCGGTCTTCGTATACTCAGGCTTTATTTGGTTGTCTGTGGTGGGGAAGCAGAGAAGAGGAGGAGGAGGAGGAGGGTGCCACACGGCCCGTTCAGTAGGGGTGGGTCTGGGTGTGCTCCATGATGGTGAGAAGCGCCAGCCACGTCTCCTGGGCCGTGGGGATGATCTGGGAGGCTGGCAGCAGGAAGCCGTAGCGCCCGGTGTCGCGGAGCTCAAAGGTGAAAGAGTACTTGATGCCCTGGTTATAGGTCCAGTCCACGGTGCTTCCACTGGCTTGATCTGGGGCAGGGCAGAGCAAGGGTCGGTCGCTGCGGAAACATCTCCATGGGCCAGGGTAGCAGGCCAAGGCCCAGAGGCTTGTGCAATGCCAAGCGGATTCACTGTCTGCGAAGGCCTGCTGTTGCCCAAGCAGCCCGGCTTCCAGAAAACTCCCGAGGGCGGAGCTAAGCCCAACAGGCCCAAAGTGGAGAGCAACCGTGATCCTCCCATTCCCTAGGGGACCCTGAGTCTCTGCCATTGCAGAGGCCTGCCTGAAACCACTCTCCTCCAAGAGTCGCTTCAGGGAAGCCTCTGGACACAGCTTGGGGAGCCAGGGTTTGCTCGCCCGGGAGCTCTGGTCTGTGCGGCACAGCGCAATGATGCACCATCAACGCCAAAGCCTCTGGTCTTCCTTTTAGGGGGAAACACTGCCCAGATTTGCAGCCAAGCACAGGAAATGCAGCCACTTTTGAATTGGGCGGAGGATGGGGAAGTGGGCCGCATTACCAGAATCCAACCCGGCCTCGCTGAGTGCAGCGAAACATTTGACTCAGGGTTAAAACCGTTTTCATGGTTGAGATATCAACACTTCAGAATCTGGGCACTCAGGGCAGGAAGCATGTGAGGTACATGGGCAGCCCCCACCTCTGCCCCCTGCTCCCCTTCCCAGCTCTGAGGCCACCACACTGCTATTCCCACAACACCCCAGGCCTACATTCTAGAAAGTTCCTCTGCCTAGAGATAGCCTTCCTGGCTTCCCACTCCAACACTTGCCCCAACTTTTCTTCTTCTGCCCCATCTCCCCCGCCCTCAAATTCCTGATTCCTCTCGGCTGCTGTGGTTCTAATTTTTCTACCCAACATTTACCACCTGGCAAACTGTAGCGTTTCCTTCTTTAAGTTTACTGTTGGTTCGCCTGGCTAGAAGCTGTTCCCTAATCTTTGCTTATTTTACGCACGGCTGAATCCCTGTGCTTCCAACACAGGGCCTGGTGCGGCCTAGGTGCTCAAGAAACACTCGCTGCCCTCATTCCACTTTGATGTGGTAATGCTCTCCCAAGGGCCTGGCATGTACAGTGTCGGAAAGCAGGGGAGAGATCCAGTACGCTCTCTGTAATTAAAGGGCACTGGAGGAGAGTGTTTGCTTAAGTGAAATTTCCTGGTGAGGGACAAATCCAAGCAGGACTCTCTACCCTGCCCATGAGTGATGCCAGACTCAACCCAAGTTCAAGGGACAAGAATTCTCAGAGGAGCGCACATGTCTGTCAGAGCCTCAAGGCAGGCAGAGTTCACGCTGGCAGCAGGCACCAGACGCCCTCCCAATGGCCCAGGCCAGCGGTTTTCAGGCACTGTGGGTTTTTCCCTCTCACCCTTATTCCCGAATCAGGGACCCTCATTACTTCCTTCTATGGGGGCTACTCATGAAGGGACAGCCAGCTGACGTTTGTTCTGGACCTGGACCACCCCGGGAGACCACGCAGCCACTTACAGATGGTGTCGATGATGCTGCCGTACTGGTACTTGGTCCCGTACAGAGAGGCCAGGGCCGTCACGGCAGACTTGGCCACCTGATGCTGGAGAAAACCCCGAACAAGGCCACCATGAGGGCCAGGCCCCTGGAACGGCAGCACTGCAGGGGTGTGGAGGGGCAGGGGGCTGGTAGCAGGGCAGCCCAGGAGCAGGCACCCTGCAAGGGGAGCCTGGAGCCCGCTCAGCCCTGGAGGGACGGCCCTGGCTTTCTCACACTGTGGGATGGCTGCCTGGGTCTTCCCCACCCTTGGGTCACACCACAGCTCCAAGCATGGTGCCACAGGTTCAAAACCCAGACCGCCCCTGCCTGTGAGACACAGTGACTCAACCACTCTGTGTCTCCATGTCCTAGAAAGAAAATCGGGGGTCCATGAGAGGAAAGGGGGTGGCTAGGCCCTGTGTGGGCTCTGGGGCCTTGAGCAGGTCCGATGTGTGAAACCCCAAGCCTGCCCAGGACTACCCTCGGGGGAAGACGGGGCGTGAAGGGGCGGGTGCCTACCAGCTCTTTCTGGTCAGGGGCTGGCTCAGAGGTGTAGCCATAGGGGTAGAGGAGGAGCTGGGAGTAGCTGTGGATGGAGATGAAGGCCTTGATGTTCCCATGGTTCTTCACAAAATCCACGATGGACTTGACCTCCACCTCGGAGTTGGCCGTCTTGCCGTGGTAAGTGTCTGAGCAGGGGTTGCTACTCGCGCCGGCTTCTGTGGGAAGACAGAGGACACACTGGCTTTTCCTGCACCCAGGCACTATGGTTTCTGGGACGTCCACGGCCCCCAGTTCTTCGCGCAGATTCAGGAGGAGCAGATGGGTGCAGGAGGGCTGCGTCCCACCACGGATTTAGCAGTTGTGGGATTCCTCTTACAACCTGAAGTCCCTCCCCAGGTTGGGAAGAACTAAGGGCCACACCCAGGGAAGTCAGGTTCTTACAGGGGCGTGGCCAAGGAGGGAAGGAGTTGAGGCTTAGCCAGAAAAACTGGAAGGAGCTTCCTCTTCACAACCAAGGGACCAAACTTCAGGGCACTGCCAGCTGCCAGGGGCAGAGCTCCCAGAGGCCCCCCCCCCAGCCCTCCACCCCCACTGCTGGGGCAGGAAAGGGGTGGGGATGACGAGACAAAGGAGGGGAGCAGCCCTACTCAGGGGTCCCATCCCTGTCCTAAAGTCACACTGTGCCTTACTCCCAAAGCCAGCGTCCCAGTTCCTGTTGGGGTCCACCCCGATACAGAAGGAGCCCGACGTGCGCGACCGAGTCTTGCGCCACATGCGGTTCTGAGGAAGCGAAAGGGATCAGCATCAGAGGCTGCATGTGCCATAGACACAAAAATCGCCCAGGGAGAGAGGGCTGGCACCATGGGTCTCAACTGGGGATGGCCTGACCTGCCCACAGCCCCCACAGCATCGGACAGTGTCAGAAGATGGTTTTGGTTGTCACGACTTAGAGGTGGGGACGCCCTGGGCATCTAGGATGCGACATGACCCAGCATGCCCAGGGCAGCCGTGGGCTCGGAGGCCGGCGGCACGTCCTGCTTTCCCTGAGGACAAGAGCCTGTACCTGGCTGTGGGTGAAGGCAAAACCATCAGGGTTGGTGACGATCTCCAGGAAGACATCTAGGTTATCCAGAATGGAGGTGACGGTTGGGTCCTGGCCATAGTCTTCAGTGATCTGGGGGGTGAGGGGGCAGAGTGGGCTTCCGCATGGCAGAGGGGTGGCCAAGGACATCAGGGTTCCCACCAGGCAGGAGCTCTCCTCATCTCCCCAGCCTTACCTTCTTGGCGAACCACACCCCGCTGGCCTGGGTAACCCACTCCCGGGAATGGATGCCCGTGTCAATCCAGATGGCGGGACGGTTGTTCCCCCCGGTGCTGAACTGCAGAAGAGGCAGGGAGGCATTGGCCAGGAAACTGCACAGCGGAGGCCTCACGCCCACTGCCCCCTACTGCCGGAAGGAGAACCCACGGGACACCTGCTGTCTGTGTATTGCAGGTTGAGGCTGTGTGTGTGGGACCATTCCTCAGGTGGGCATGGGGCCGAAGCCTGATGGGCATCCCACAGAGCGTGCTCCTGCCCTCAGCCCAAGCTTGAGGCCATGGGGCTCAACTTGACTTTCAGGCCCAGCACTGTTCGGCTGTCTGGACGGTGTTCCATGGAAAGTCACAAACTGGACACCTTGGACTTCACGACAAATTCTGTAACATGACACTTGACCGGAAACACGAGGGTCACCCAAGAGTTTAAACCATGTGTGTACGTGTGCATGCACCCAGGCCAGCACAGAAATCCAGCTCCTGCATGGGGTGTCCATGTTCCCCACCGGAGCTCACGCTGTGGGTGCACGACAGGGCCCTCTGGGAGCCTGTTCTGCCTGTGCCCACGCATGTCTACCTTCAGCACGTAAATGGGCCGGCCTTCATAGGTGTTGCCAATCTGGATCTTGCTGACAAGCTGTGGGTGCTCAGCCACCAGTTGGTCTATGAAGTCATAGATCTGAGAGAGAAGAAGGAAGGAACGGCCTTAATGACGTCTGGGCACACAGGTGCCCGCCTCGGTTGGTTCTGTTATCCCAGCTGGCCGCAAGGGGTCCCTACCAGGACGAGGCTGGCCATGCGGGAACAGAGAGGTGCCAGCCACACCAAGGCTGGCCCTGGCTCTTCCGACCATGCAGAAGGGCTGGATGCCGTGCAGAGTGGCCGCCAGGGACGCCCTTACCTCCTCCAGTGTGTGGTAGGTGGCATAGTTGAAGGTGTCCGTGGAGGTGGCCCGGGCCCGGAAGGCAGACATCTGCTCCTGCTCCTCGTCCAGCAGCGTCTGCACATCCTCGATCATGATCTCGTAGCCGATGCCGTGGGCCTCCAGGAAGATCTTCACGGCCTGAATGCTGGGGAAGGGCACTCGCACATCGATGGGGGAGCCAGGTCGGGCAGGGCCCCGCCAGAAGTCCAGCTGAGGACGACAAGGGCCAGTATTGTCACTGCAGGCTGGAGGCGCAGCCCGGACAGCAGGCCAGGACGGGGCCAGCCTGGGTGGGGTGAGGGAGCTAGAAGCTCCGAAGTATCAGGGATGGGACAAGGGTGTTAGTGGTACCCATGGGACTGGACCAAGTCTGGTGTAGTCAAGGAAACAGAGCAGAGAGGATAGTGTGTCCCGGCCCTTTGCTCAGATACTCAAGTATCAAGGTTCTGAAACAGAGAGCTAAAGTCATTTCCTAACAGGGATCAGTCCCATGTCCCAGGGCTGGGAGGCTGAGGAGAAGGCACCCAGGCCTTGGAGGCCTTGCAGGTGGTGGGGACAGGCTGGGGGAGCCCCTCTCCCGGGCTCTAACCTGCAGGTGCTCCAGGTCCTGTAGCTCCGCTACCTTCTGTACTTGGGCCTCATTGGCTGCAGAGATTCGGAGCACCTGGTGCCTGGGCAGAGTAGAGGGACCCTCAGCACCTGCCCTGGCCACCAACACTCCCGGGGCTGAAAGGAGGCACAGCTGGGACCCCCCAGGCCGGGACTGGGTCCTCCGGGCTGCAGTAGGGAGGGGTCTCCTACCCCCTGCCTCCCCCTCCCCACCTTTGGAAATTTTAGACTCTATTGCAAGCCAGCCAGGTCTCCTCCTTCCTCCGCTCCTGAAAAGTTCAGCTTTCTCCAGGCTCAGGACGCTGTCCTGAGACGCAACCCCTTCCTGCCGTGGCCCTCAAACCTGCTCAAGGTGGTGGGGGTCCATCCTCTATGGCTGTGTTCCTGGCCATCTGCCTGTCTCCTCTAGACACCCACTGCAGCCCAGCCCTCCCCGACACGCCCCCAGGGCACCCCACCCCCTCCATCCCCCTACCCCACAAAGTCCTCACTGCCCAGGGCAGCCCCGAGAAGCACACTCCAGATCAACAGCACCCGCATACTGCAGCTGGCTGAGGAGGTCTGACTGAGGTGGAGGCGACAGCAGGCTCTTTTAAGCCTGCCAAGGACAGACACCTTCCGGCTGGGCCTGTGAAGTTGTGCCCTGCTCGCACCTGTCCCAGGCTCTGACACCTTCTCACTCTCCCTGATAAAACAGAGGGAACGGGGCAGCTGGAGCGATAAGCCAGGCCGCCACACCTGGCCTCCCAGCCCACAGTTCCGGTCACCTGGCACTGGGTCCTGTTTGCTGACCCTGCAATGGAAAAGCCAGGGGCTCCGAGTGGCCTCACCTGCTGGGCCCTCCTGCAGGGCGCTCCCTTTTCCCATGGCCCTGAAGGCCAGCTCTTTTGTTCCTGGGTCAGACAAGCTCAGGCCCTCCACTCCATCTGGCTCCTGCCTCTGCTTCGTTCCTCACTGCCCAGGCTTCGTTCAGGCTGCACCTACCCTGGGCAGGGCACAATCCTCCCTAGGCCTAGGCCATTGAAGGGGATTTTCCGCCCCGATCCTACCAGTCTTGAGAGAGCAACAGCAGGTCCCTGGGATCAGGGGTGCCTTGAGGGGAACTGTAACCAGGTGCCTTTGTATAGAAAGGGTGGGAGGCAGGGACAGGACCAGACCTGCGTCAGACCACCTGGCATGCAGGCAAAGCCGAAATTCACCACAGGGCACTTGCTCTTCTCTGGGTACCAACATTCAACCTAAGACCACCCTAGCCCATGGGGGTCCTGGGACTGCCCAGCACCATCCGGGGCTCTGTTCTGCGGCAAGGCCTTGGGCTTGAGCACCAACAACCACCCAGGTGGCCCTTTCTATTCCCACCCCCCACTCCCCAGCAGCTCATATGCCAAGGCAGAGTGATTCCATTCTATTCACCCACAGCTCCCTCCTGAGCCTAACTAACTCTAGGATGACCACAAAGCCCTGACCTGGAGCCGACCCCTGGGGGCCTTGCCTGTGCTGATGCCCAGGGGCTCCCTCCCTCCCGAGGCTGCTCTGGCTCCTCCTCTCAACCTATCTCCTGCTGCTCCGAAAGCCAGACTTTTCTTCCTGCACTCGGTCACATGCACACTGCTGGGCCAGCACTGCCAGGTTCCACACTGCTGCGGTGCCCAGGGCAGACTGGACCCTGACCTCAGGGAGGTCACGGCTCAGCCAGGGAGACAGAAGAAACCAACCAGGCCGGCGCCGCGGCTCACTAGGCTAATCCTCCACCTTGTGGCGCCGGCACACCGGGTTCTAGTCCCAGTCGGGGTGTCGGATTCTGTCCCGGTTGCCCCTCTTCCAGGCCAGCTCCCTGCTGTGGCCAGGGAGTGCAGTGGACGATGGCCCAAGTGCTTGGGCCCTGCACCCCATGGGAGACCAGGAGAAGCAACTGGCTCCTGCCATCGGATCAGCGTGTTGCGCCGGCCGCGGCGGCCATTGGAGGGTGAACCAACGGCAAAAGGAAGACCTTTCTCTCTGTCTCTCTCTCTCATTGTCCACTCTGCCTGTCAAAAAAAAAAAAAAAGAAGAAGAAGAAGAAGAAGAAGAAGAAGAAACCAACCAAGCTGTCCTTTCTCCAACAGGTCCTCCAAGAGGCTGTCACCCACAGAGGAGCTATGAAACATTTCATTTGGACTGTGGACACACACTAGGGGCACACAGCAACCAAGGGTCTGGGGAGACCTTCCCAAGAAGGTGGCATAGACCTGGGTCTGAATGACGAGTTTGCCAGGCAGGGAAGGAAAGGGGGAATCTGTTTGTGCTTGAACACAAATGCACCCCTACTTCTCTTCCATCTCTCTCAGCTCTTAGCACTCTATAATGTCCTACAGCTTTTCTCATTCGTCCCGTCCCCACCAGGAAAGAAGGTTTAGGAGAGACTTTCTTTAGTTCGTATTATGAAAAACAAGTTTTCTCTTCTCAAATATAAAGCAGTCTTCTACTTTCAAGTCTCTACACATGGGACGGGACGGTTGGCTGGTGTGGGGGACTTCTGGGAATTCTTCTGGAAATGACAGGTGGCCCCCAAAAGGGATAGACCTAAAGGAAGACCACGGTCTCACCGAGAGACTCTTTCTGCCTGCAGCCAGCCTCCATCTGAGATGGCCAAGAGCCACGGAACAGATTTTCTGCAAGACTGGGAAAGATGTATTCAGCACTGCAGGCTGAAATTTGAGCCTGCACCGGCAGGAAGCTGGCAGCCCAGTGGCCAAGGAATTTGATCTCAGGTCGGGGCTAGAGCTAGTACTCGGGGCCCCTCCAAAGCCCCTCACAAAGCTGCAAATCACCTCTTGGTAAAGACCAGTCAGCGTGCTAGAATGTAACCCAGGGCAGACCGCGGCAGATCTGCCTCCCCTTTCAGAGGGGGGATTGTTCTAGCAAAGGGTCAGTGACACCACCAGAGACCTGCTGAGGTCTTCCTACTAAGGGACATGAGCCAACAACTCTAACACCAGAGAAATCCACGTCCAGTGTCTAGTTTTCATTTTCTCAGGGGGTCTCCAAAAAGTTTATAGAAAATGCAGACGATAAATTAACCAGGTGTGGATTTAAATATTTTTGCACCAAACCTATCTTTAAATTCCACTTTCCTACGAATTTTTGAGGTACCCTTCTATATTGAACTTCCCTTCTGGAACCCAAATAGGACTTGGTGATAGCCCCCTCCCCATCCCCACCCGCCCCACCAACACACAGGCTGAGGAGGTCCGGAGGTGGGTGGAGATGCAGCAGCTGTTTAGGAGAGAGCAAGGGGCCAACTGCAGACCCCAGGGGCTTTCCACAACCATTTTCATTTCTTTTTCATTCATTGATTCATTCAGAGAGAGAACGAGGTCTTCCATCCACTGGCTCCCCAAATGGCCGCAATGACCAGGGCTGAGCCAGGCCAAAGCCAGGAGCTCGTCCCAGGTCTCCTACGTGAGTGGCAGGGCTTAAGGATTTGGGCCATCTTCCGCTGCTCTCCCAGGCCATAGCAAGGAGCTGGATCAGAAGTGGAGCTGCCGGGACTTGAACCAGTGCCCATATGGAATGCTGGCACTACAGGCAGCGGCTTTACCCGCTACACCACAACACCGGTCCCACCTGTTTTCATCTCTAAGGATTTTCCTAAGTACTGAGAGAACAAGAACTTCAGAAGGCCGAACCTGCCCAGACCCAAAAAACGTGATTGCCTCCCAAGCTGGAGATCCAGGCAAGCCTGTCCCCCTCGGGCGGCCCGCCCTGGGGTGCAGGCAGGAGAGAAGGTGGCAGCTGGGTCACTGTGTCGCTGGAATCCAAGGCTCCAGCCAAGGACTTCCTGGCTCCACGTCTACTCTCTCTCAGGGAGCTCCAGGGGCTGCCATCAGTGATTTAGGGGGTAAGGGGGGTGGGGCAGGGGGCGGAGTGCTGGGTTGGGGGGTGGGCATTATCCCAGGAGTACTTAGGGCAAGCCTTGGAAATTAGAACACAAAACCCACCCTGCTAGGTTTTTTTTTTTCCAAAGGAGTATCTTAAAATCTCATTTTTGGCTGAAGTTCCTCGCTCTGGGGCCCTGTCCGGCTCCCGGGCTCCCTGGACAGCGGCCCCTGGCCCATCCCCCGGCGCTGGCCGGCCCAGCCTCACACATTCCACACCGCCCGGCCCGTTTGTTTTTTTAAGCAAGCAATCACCACAGCGCGTTCACTGCGGTTCTTTATGGCTTTCCATATGTATAATCGCTCTTTCTCGCTCCGCTTTTTCCAGTGTTTTTTTTTTTTCTTTTAAATAAATGCTCATAAATTTTACCAGTGAAAAGGATGAAAAAAAAATACCTAAAAAGAGCAGTGTGTGGAAAAAGAAAAAAAATAATAATAAAATAAAGCAGCCACCCAGCAGCACGTAGGAAAATTGAGCTCCTGTCCGGGCTCTGCAGCCTTGGCAAAATGGCGGGAAAAGACTCGGGGTTTATGAAAGCGGGAGCGAGCTTTTGTGTCGGATGGCCTTGAACCCCAGGCCGGCACGCCCCGGCTTGTGGGGGCGCCCCGCGGAGCAGCCGAGGGGCTGGGGTCCCCTCAGACCCCGGCTGTGGGCTTCCCTCAGCCGTGGCCTCCCAGCGCCGTGTGCAAGTCTCCAGATCCAGGGTCTTTACGGAAAACACGAGGGGGTGAGGGGTGGAGGACTAGAACTTCGGAAAGTTCCACGGCTTTCTGATTAAGTCGGTTGCTTCATGAACTAGAGCGAGAAATGGAGTCTGCGCCCCCATCAGACAATGTGGGCCACCTTCCCAGAATCCATTGCGCCTTCCCCCGCACGCCCGTTCGGGGCAGCGGCGCATCCGGCGCCTCAGCCACTTCCCAGCATGCCACGCGCCGGGGCGTGGCCACACGACGCTGACCGCGCCCTCTCAGGTGCTTGCGCTTGGTTTTCGCGCCGGAATTCAGTCAGGGCGGGCAAGCAGCCGCCTTGCGCCGCCGGGAGCAGGGCTGCTGGAGACCCTCCTCCGTCCACTTCCTGCCGCCTGACACGAGCAAACCTCTTGCCTGGCTGAGCCCACGCTGAGGGGAGTCTGTCACCGACGGAGCCACCTAGCTCTGCTGTGCGCGAGGCCGAGCGGGAGACGCAGCCTCTCCACAGCTACCGCGTGTTTGAGGACGAACCGCGGAGTGTAGCCCCTACTCGCAAACCAGTCGGGGAGACCTACAGCGTGGAGACCCGGACGTGGGGAGGGAATGCACCAGCCTTTGGAAAGAGAGCAATGCAGTCCCCACATCCGGTGGGTGGTCCTAGGGCTAGTGAGGCGAGGGGAGGCGTGGGAGGCATGTGCAAAGGCCCCGTGGCTACGAGGGAGCTGCGGCGGGCCGCTGAGGTTGGAGCCCGCGAGAGGGAAGCAAGAGGGTCAGACAAGGCAGGAGCGCTAGACAGCGGCAGGGAGTGCTTGCGCCTGGTTTTATTTAAAGTCAGGCCAAGGTTTTAAGGGGAGGCGTGGCCTCTTCACCCCCAACCACGGGAGAGCGTAACCAACCTGGCTGTGAACGGGAGCCCTTCGTCCCAGGCCCCCGGGGACTTTCAGACCTGAAGGGAGACACGAGCTGTGTGCCCTTTCACGACCCTGTTCCCTGAGCCCGAGGCTCCTCTGAAAATAAGGACAGCAAGGGTCCTACCTCCAGGGCAGAGGAGCAGCGTGGTAAATCTTAGCACGGGCTTGCGATCGTGCGTGGCACGCGGCCAGTCCGAGATCATCTCTCTGGCTTGGCAGCCCACGGGCGTTCAAACGCTCGGCCGCTAGGCGAGTGCTTTTTCATGGTGGCCAGAGAATCGCCTGGGCGCTCCCCGGCGGCTCTGTTTCAGTCTGGAACACCCCCGGATTCAAAATGGCACCAAAGCAGCATCGGGGGTGAAACACAGATACCCGCCTGCACGTGTCTGCTGCAGGTGGGCACGGGCCACACCTGAACCAAGGGTGACGTTGCGCGTTTGGAGTTAGACAAACTGAAGCTGGCCACGCCTGGCCTTTGAAACTTGTCCCGAAGCAGGCACTGACGGGCAGCGGGGTGAGCCTAGGCTTGGGACGCCTGGTTTGAGGGCCAGCTCCTCTGCTTCCAGTCCAGCCGCCTGCTACTTTGTGCTCTGGGAGGCAGCAGTCATGGCTCAAGCATTTGGGTCCCTGACACCCCCATGGGAGACCCAGATGGAGTTCTGAGCTCCTGGCTTCAGCCTGGCCCAGCCCCGCTGTTGCACGCATTTAGGGAGTGAACTAGCAGGTGGAAGGTCTTTCTCTCTTGCGCTGTCACTCTGCTTTTTAAATAGACAAATAACTGAAAATACACTGCTTTCTAAAAAAAAAAAAAAATCCGTTAAAAAAAAACTTCTCCAAATCTTGCTTCCCTTATTTGAAAAATGAACTTATTAGTGATGCCAGCAATATCCTCCCCACGAGGATGAAATGAAAATATTTATATTGAGGGCATACAAGTTATAATCACAGACTACAGTGTGCAGAGGTATAACTTGCTTTATTTATCTGTGGCTTATATTAACCTCACCCAGACTCCGTGTTTCCACTAACAGCAGAAAACTTCAGCTTGGAAATTCTGCCTCACTCAGACCACTTCCAGCTTTAAGAAAATGCCACCTCCTGGGGACAACACATCCCAGGACCAGGCCTCCCGCCTCCTCCTCCGCTGCACGGAAGCGAAGCACCCCCAATGCCTGAAGCCAGCCCTGGAGGGCCCCACGAGCCGCCCACACTTGAGGTACCGTGGACTTGGCCATCTTGGCCCTGCCTTAGGCCTCCTCACCTGCTAACCCCCTTTCTTTACTCACAGCTGTGAACAGCAGCACTGCTGGGGCATCCCTAGCCCCAAGACCGCTTCTCACCTCTGCTCCAGCCCCTGGCCTCAGCCATTCATTTGCTGCTTTGGTGCCATTTTGAATCCAGGGTTTGCATCATCTCCACGGCCTCCTTCCACGAAGTGGCCCGACACTGGTCTCACTTTATAGGTCGAGTGGAAAGAACCAGTTCTGCTTTCGTCCCTGTTGCTGTGTCCTCCAGGCTCAGAGATACCCATAGTCCTTTTCGTTCGTTCACACACACACAGCCCAGCTAAAGGAAAGATTTGCTCACGAGTTTAGGCCTCAGACTCGCACAAACACATTCAGCTTTTCAACCGATAAGGGAAGAGCCAAGGGACCCAGTGCCCCTGCTCCTGGATGGTGGAGGAAGACAGAAGATCCAGGGAAGCCTGGCAGTATTGGAAAGCCCCTCGCTAGGATCTCAAAACGGTGCCACTGAAGCTCCGTTAGACAGAGCACCTCCTTAGCCCCTTGGCTGGCCGGAGGCAGCTGCTGCACGCGTGACAGCCATGATGGTTACAGCGATGAAACGGAGGAAGAGGGGGACTCCGCCCCCTGTGTGCGTGCTGCTGCGCTGTGCTGGCTCCCGCCTGCTCTCACTCTGTGCTCCGAGGCCCTTGGAGGAGGAGCTTACAGACGAGCAAATTGTTCACATTTGGTTATAAGGGCAAGTGAGGACCCCTGAAATGTGCCTTTGCCCCTCGCCAGGGAGGAGGAAGGGGAGGCTGCTTGCCTGGACCTGCCTCTCCCTGAAGTGGAGAGCAGGCACCGCTGGGATAATTGTGGCTTGGTAGCCCCTGGGGGTGTCTTCCCTGTCCTGGGCCTGGGCATACTGCAGGAGGAGGGGATGGACCACCTTGGGCCCTGGGGAGGGCACAGCCCGTGTCCCCCTCAATGCGAAGCCAGCAGGAACGGCAGCCTACGTGTAGAGGCAGCAAAGCCCGTTCAAACTGTTTATTTCCTACAGGGTCCAGGCAAGGGTGTAGGGTGACAATACAGAGCTTGGATTTCAGGAGCAGCCCCACCCTGGGGACGAGGAGGAGCCCCCCTGCTTTGGCCTGCACAGGGTGACTAGTAGGGGTGGGTCCGGGTGTGCTCCATGATGGTGAGAATCGCCAGCCACGTCTCCTGGGCCGTGGGGATGATCTGGGAGGCTGGCAACAGGAAGCCGTAGCGCCCGGTGTCGCGGAGCTCAAAGCTGAAGGCATACTTGATGCCTCTGTCGTAGGCCCAGTCCACGGTGATCCCGCTGGCCACATCTAGAAACCAAAGGGCCAAGAGGTGCCCCCAAGAGGAAGAAGGAGGTGCAGCCCCAAGGCAGAGATGCACCCTGAGGAGAAAGGGGACCCTGGAGCCCACCCCCGAGCCCAGGCCACACCACGCTCCCAGGCTCAGGCCTCCTCCCGGGCAACCCCCTGACCACCATGGCCACCTCGAGCTCTACACAGGAAAGCTCTGGGAGGCCTCCAGACATAGGCTCTTCCCCCCTCAAAGCCTCTGCAGTGAGCCAGGCACTGGGGGCCATGCATTCATGCTGCACAGAGCAGCCGCTGGGGGACCATTGTCCACCCCTGTGTCCAAGTGTAGGAAGCAGATTAGGCCAGCCCAGCTAGATCAAGGGACTACCAGGCAGCTCAGAGCTGCACGTGCCCAGCCCCAGGGGCATGTGGGATCTGGAGCAGTGGCCAGGGGAGCTTCACTCACAAAGGGTGGTGCTGATGCTGCCAAAAATATACTCGATGCCGTGGACCTCGTACAGGGCCTTCACTGCACCCTTGGCAAGATGATACTGCAAAGAAAACATCCCAGGGGATGAGGCTGGAGCTCCAAGTGGCTCTGCCCGGGCCCCAGCACCCTCACCCGCACGTCAGCCTCAGGAGTTGAATGTGCAGAGAGCACTGGAGACCGAGGACTGCAGCAGCCCTGGCTTCCAACTCAACCACACCTGAGAGCCACAGCCTCCCCACCTGCCGTCTGTGGTGTCTGCTGGTCCACACCCCTGGCTGGGGATGGGGGATCAGTCAGATTTCCCTGGGGAGGTGCCTCCTTCTCCCCTACGTCCAGAGCAGCCAATCTCACCAACTCTTCTTGGTTTGCCACAGGCTGCAGAGAGTGGCCGTAAGGGTACATGAGCATCTGGGAGTAGCTGTGGATGGAGATGAGAGCCTTGACGTTCCCGTGGCCCGTAATGAAGTTCACGATGGCAGCCACCTCGGGCTCCGACTGCGGGGAAGGCCCGTGGTAAGTCTCTGAGCAGGGGTTGTTGTTAGAACCATTTCCTGGGAATGAAGAAAACCACCCAAAGGGTCAGCACGCCTGAGTGTGGCAGAGACAGCTGGGGCTCACAAAACACCCATGCAGCCCCCTCATTTCCCAGACTCCTTTGCAGTTTGGCGGAGGACATACGACATCTGACCAATGAAAGGTGAACAGAAATGATGAGGCAGTTCTGATCTGAGATTTGTTAGAAGCCAGCGTGACTTCTCCACACTGTCCCCTGTGTGGCAGGAGGCAAAAGATTCCAGAAAGACACAACCTCCTGGATCCCTCTGTCACCACTGGCAGAGAACGTCTAAGGACAGTTACCTAAGCACGTTGGACTCTGAGTGCATGAAAAATGAGCTTTATTATGTAGAAGCCACTGGGGTTTGGAGGGGTGCTTGTTATCGCTGCGTACCCTAGTCTAATACCCTGGAAGCAGGAGGCCGCCCCACGGCCCTGCAACTCCAGAGCCCTGCAGGAAGCTCCCTTGGCTTGCTCTTCTGATCGAGTCCTGGCTGAGGCTCCTTAGAAAGGCAGGCCTGCCTCAGAAGGTGCATTCAGAAACCCCAAGTCTCTCCCTGGTCTCCGCTTCCCCACTTCATCAGCGATCCTTTTGACCTGATTCCTTCCTGGGTTCTCTGTCCCTTGAACGCTCAAATGTGGTATCTGCTTGGGCTTGGCCCAGCTGTGGCCCCAGGAGCTCCAAGGACTTGGGCCAGGAGAAGAGAGAACAGATCCCCACAGCTGCCTGGCTCACAAATGCAGAGAGGCCCTTGAGCCTTTGCTTCCCCCGCCTCCTTTCTTCCTCTCCAACCCTCCTGCTTCCTTCTACCCCTCAAAGGGTACGTTAGGGAGGGCTGGCCTGGGCTGGCCAAGGGTCAGGGATATGTGTGAGAGAAGCGATCCCAGCTCCTCCTCTCCCGTCTGCTCCCTGAAATGGCTGTGCCCAAGCCTGGTCCAGAGGCTGGGGACTGCCCCAGCTACTTCTTCCATTGTTTGTTGTTTATTTGAAAGGCTGAGAGACAGGAAGAGAAGGGTGGCAACAGGGAAAGAGTTTCCATCTATTGGTTCACTCCCCAAAGGCACACAACAGCCAGGGAAGGGCCAGGTTGAAGCCAGGAGGCTGAAACTCAATCTGGGTCTCTTAATGTGGGTGACAAGGACCCAGGTACTTGACCCGTCACTTGCTGCCTCCCAGGCCATATTAACAAGAAGCTAAAATAGGAAGTAGAGCCGGGACTCAAACCCAGGCCCTCTGATGTGGGATGTGGGCATCTAAGTGGCATTTTAACCACCATGCCAAATGCTATCCTCCATTCTTTTTTATCTGAAAGACAAGACAAACATATCTCCCATCTGCTGGTTCACTCCTCAAATGCCTACAACAGCCAGGGCTGTCGGGCCAGAGCCAGAAACCAGAAATGCAGTCCAGGTCTCCCACAGGGTGAGATTTGAGGCATCATCTGCTGCCTTCCAGGGTATGTATTAGCAGGAAGCTGAAATTGGGAATGGAGCTAGGACTCGAACACCCTAACTGTAGGCCATCCACTTGTCCCTACCCCAAGTTCTGAAACCCCCTGAGGAGGCCAGAGCACCCCTCTTGAGCCCAGGCAGCAGGCTGGCCCATGGACAGTCCAGATGATGCTGCAGAAACACAGAAGCCTGCCCTCCCCAAGAAGAGGGCGGCATGAGGGGCAGGATGGTCTACAGCCGAGACATTACACAGCAATTAAATTAAGGCAATATTAAAACCATAAACAAAACCTTCCTCGCCTGAGTCACCAGCCCAGACACATGCACACACCGCTTCTGGCCCTAGGCTAATCCGTCACTAGAGTGCCCCTTCTCGCTTTGCCTGGCTCTGCCTGGAGTGGAGGACCCAGGCTCAAAGGGGATGTGCCTGCAGAGAGCGAGGGGGTGAGGGGCAGTCCCCCAGGCTGCAGTGGGCCCCACTAACAGTGGCCCTGTTTGTTATGTCTGCCGGGAGCCTCTGCACCTGCTATGCTTGATGAATGACAAGCAGCAACAGATGAGCAGAGCGGGAAGGCTGAGAGCTTTGTCTGCGTTTGCAGCCCACGCACGCAAAGCAGTTCCCCTGCCAGCGACCAGGTGGCTTTGCCCAAATATGGAGAAACACTTCAGGCCATTAGTTCTGGTTGGAGCTAAGCAGAATAAACTAATCTTCCCCTGACCAAATGGGAATTAGCTGCCTGCCTCTCTGACGTTCACCGTCAAGGTCCTCTGAGCCTGCCTGTTTCACAAGTACCTGCTAATGGATTCATTAGCTATTTATTTTTCCTTCTCTAAAAATGTAATTTGTAGCGAGGGGAAATCTTGGGAAGGACATGGTGAATTATTCAAAGCAGTCATCTTTGGGTAGTGGGATTATGGGAGCTTTTTGCCCCCTCTGGGCTTTTCTTTTCCATAATTGTTTTTTTTTTTTTTTTTACAATGTATACGTATGGATTTTTTTTTCCTGTGGAAAAATCCGCAAAAGTTATTTTCTTTAAGAGGTAATTTGTTTTCTGCCAGCTGGTATAGCTCTGGGCACTCATCTGGTCAGCTCTGAGGGGCCCATTTGGATGCTGAGATCTGGTCATCGGGAGGTGGAGACCCCACATTTCACACAGTCTCTTTCCCTCCCACGCCTGGCCATACTCAGACCCTGCAGCAGGGAACTCGCACCCAGCGCTTTCAAGCCATCCGTATTTTTCAAGAACAGACCCCCAAGAAGCCAGATTTCCAAAGCAGTGGACATGCAGATCTAGAATGTTCTGTTGTATTGGTTTGGCCACCAGCCTGTGGCTCTGCTTGTCCACAGCAATGGCACTGTGTCCTGGGGACTGTGGCTGCCCCATCTGGGGCAGGAGTGTGTCTATTCTGGACACTCCATCCTGGCTGAACTCAGCTGCCCACCCACCAAACTGCTGCATTTCCAGGGTCCATGCACCTGTCTCGGGGCTTGCCGGAGGCTTCCGTTTGCCCCCCAATCCCCCTATCCCTGGCAAGAGACCTTCGGAGAAGAACATCAGGGAACGCAGGAGGAAGCTGCCCAGCCTTCACTGGGATCTGGTAGCTCTTCAAGTAGCCATTCGTTGGAAACAGTAATGGGTCAAACATGAATACCGGGTACAAGCCACTCTATTTTGAACTATTGCTTGGCCTCCCAAAGGGCAGTTTGCAGGCCACAGCTCTCAGGAAATGAGTTCAGAGGAATTTCCTTATTGTACACACTAAGGGGAAGACTGGCAGCATTTTAGGGGCACTTTAAACTGGTTTTAAACAACAGGCAAGGCCACTTCGTACCTCCTTATACCTTTCTCTGCCGTATTTAGGATTTGACCCTTGAAGTTTGTCTTCATTCAGGGGCTGGGAGCTCCCTTGAAAGTTCCCGTGCAGGTGTTGCCTAAGTATACCTCTAACACACATGTGTTGCCTCTTCCCACATCCCACAGCCAATCTTAGGAACGCACTTGCTTGTCCTCGGCCATGACTCACGAATTATTAGCTAATGATGACATTTGTCCGTACCTCCCAAGTTATGGGTCAACGTAATCTGACTGCCTGGGAGGGCCAGCCAAGGACCAAGAACTCTAGTCCCACCCCCAAGACCAACAGGCTGCTGTACCTCCAAAGCCCGAATTCCAGTTCCTGTTGAGATCCACACCAATGCAGAAGATGCCAGGTCTTGTGGACTTGTTCTTCCGCCACAAGCGGTTCTGAGAAAGCCCAAATCAGGTGACCCCATTCACTGGGCCAACTCCCAAGGTTGGGAGCCTCTGACATGCCGGCCTATGAAGGGGGTCTGGTGGGGCAGGGAGGAGCAAAGGCCAGGACCTTCTGGGATCAAGATGGGGTTGGCGTGGGACTGAGCCAAGGCTGCAGATCTAGTACTGATGGCTGAAGTCAGGGTCTGGGGAGAGGCTTGAGCACAGGCCACCAGTGGTGGTCTTCCTGGGGCAAGGGGTAGGAGCTTGGGGGCCAAGAAGCTGCAACTACAGTACCTCCCACCCTCAGGGAAACTGTCTGCGAGGACCCCTGGAGGGGCTGGCTGTCAAGGCCACAGCAACCCTTCCCTGGCCCCCCACGTGCCCCAGGTGCCCTCACCATGCTGTGCGTAAAAGCAAAGCCATCAGGGTTGGTGACAAGCTCTATGAAGATGTCCATAGCGTTCAGTATGTCTGTCAGCACACCTCCTTTACTATATTCATTGACAATCTGCAAGAGAGGGTGCGGAGTGGGAGGCCCTGCTGGGCTCTCGGAGGAGGAGGAGCTGGACATTTGCACAGCGGGTGGCCCAGGAAGATGCAGCATCAGGCCATGAAGTAGCACCTCTGTGCAGAACCAAAGGCTTGGCTGTCAGACAACTAGAAGGCGGAGGATCCGTGTGGGCTGGGTGCTGCCGAAGGCCCACACACAGCGGCTGTTCTAGAGAATGGGAGGGGACAGAGCACCCTGGATTTCAGGGTGAGTTTTTCCAACTTGTTGGGCCCTTGAGGAGTCAGGTAGCCCCACTCCACCCCAGCCCCCAGTTCCTGCCCCATTCCCAGTTGCCCTTTGCTACCGGTCCTTGCTGACCTTCTTGGCAATCCAGATGCCGGTGGCATGGGTAATCCACTCCCGAGAATGGATTCCAGTGTCAATCCAGATGGCTGGGCGCTGAGAACCTCCAGTGCTGAACTAGGGAGAAGAATCGGGCCCCCACCAGAGATTTGAGCAAAGCAGCAGTGACGTTGTCCTGGGCTGACCACAGGGAGACCTGGTACTTCCCCACTTCCTCACTGCCTAGGCCCAGTGTGCTTAGCCCAAGAGAGGATGCGTGTGCAGGGACCTTTCTACACTCCCATGATGTGCACACGTGTGAGGTCCCTAGGCCCTGCAGTGGTACTGTTGCAGGGCAAAGCACAGGATTTCTCAGGGTGGACAGCATCTTAAGACGAGTGCTTCTAGCTTTAATCTGCACATTAATCCCATGGAAATCCTACTAGATGCAGATTCTGATTCAGTAGGTCTGGGAGGAATCTAACATGCTCCCGGGCGACGTGGGTGCTGCCATGCAAGCACCACAGTTGGAGAGGCAAGGTCTTAGATCACATTCAAGAGAGAAGACGACAGCCCCTGGGGGAAGTAGAAGCAGGGACAGGTGAGGTCAGTGCCACGCTGAGGCCACGTGGCTGCTCGGAAGCATCCACCAGAGCATGCTGAGAGCAGTAGCATCTGGCTTCCCTGGTGGCTGGTGCGTGGCCCACGCCCCTGAGTGCTTCTTAGGGCACCTGCCAAACATCATTTTCCAGCCGTCTTTGCACCCACCCATCTTCCATCATGACCAAGGAAACTGCAGCTGCCATGTTGGCATACACTTCTGTTCCAGTGGCCCCTGTGAAGGGTGAGGAGTTCCCCCATCATCTGGGGCTGTCTCAGCCAAATGGCCTCAAGCATTTGCAAATGACCCATGGCCCTCTGCTCCCATTGTGGCACATGGAGCCCCTGAGGTAACCGGAAGAACGCTGTCTCACCACACTCACACCCACTTCAGGTGGCAGATGCCCTGCCGCAACCCTCCCACTGCTTCCTGACCAAGGGCGTGCGAGGTCACTGCACTGTCACCTGTCCATGCCCACGAGGGTGAGTCCCTGAATGCCATCATCCTAAAGCTTGTGCGTCACTTGAGGACAGGAGTACACACACCTTTCTGCTCCCCGCAACTCCCACCCCGCCGCTACCTGCCAGGAGCTCAGTCTGGTACCAGAGGCTGTCACCACACCGCCCACTGGTTGGCACCGAGCTTTTACCTTCAGGACAAGAATGGACCGATTCTCAAAGCTGTTGCCAATGTGAATCTTTGAGACTATGTCTGAATGCTCAGTCACAAGGTTGTCGATCCAGCTGTAGATCTGAAAGCAATGATGTTGATCGGACTGGGGTTAAACAGGGAGAAAAGTGACACCCAGGACCTCTCTGAATAGTCTCCTTAACCCATCCCACCCTCAATACTCTCCCACCTCCCATGGATCTAAGAGAACACAGATCAAGAACTGTAAAATCAAGGTGGGCATGTGGTGCAGCATTTAAGACACCACTTGAGGAGGAGGGCCCTAGTGCTTGGGCCCTGCACCCACATGGGAGACCAGGAGGGAGCACCTGGCTCCTGGCTTCGGATCAGCGCAGTGCACCGGCCGTGGCGGCCATTTGGGGGGTAAACCAACGGAAGGAAAACCTTTCTCTGTCTGTCTCTCTCTGTCTAACTCTGCCTGTCAAAAAAAAAAAAAAGACACCAGCTGAGACACCCGTATCTCGTATTGGAGTGCCTGGGTCCCTAGCTCTACTCCCAGTTCCAACTTCCTGCTAATGTGGACCCTGGAAGCAGCAGATGTAGTTGACTCCCTACAACCCATGGGGGAGACCCAGGTGGAGTTCCTGGCTCCTGCTTACGCCTGACCCGGCCCCAGCTGTTGAGGGCATTTAGGGAGTGAACCAGCATTCAATCTCATTCTTTCTCTCTCTTTTACAGCCTTTCAAGTAAAAACAATTTTTAATGCTTAAAAAAAAAGGAAAAAAATAGCAAAAATAGATGTCCTTCGGGCTAAGGGCATTTAGGTGTGGTCTGGCTGGATTCACAAGCTCCTCCTCTCTGTGCAGAGCTGTGCCTTTGCCTGGGAGAACAGCGTGTGCTGAGTCCGCTCAGATCTCCAGGGCAGCCTGTCTTGTTGGAAATTCTCTCTCATCTCCATTCTTTGGCCCGTTCAATCCACCTGACAGATCTCACAGCCCTTGCTGTTTATCTTCTTGCCCCTTTTAGGCTCTAACTAAAGACAGGGTTCGGGCTTTACTGATTTTTGACATCAATAGTGACAGACTATATTTATTCGCTCTCTTGTCTTTTTCAGTACTCTGGGGCCACTGTTACAGGTCTTGTGGAAGGGGAAAAGTGGTGATGATAACAGAGTGGATGTCTGTATAATGTCACATTTTTCATGCATAAAATAAGATGTGTGCCTTAGTTTATTTTACAGTGGACATCCCCGTGCCCTCATTGCATGGCCTCCTTTGTAAACAAGTCACAATCAATAATACCTGTCCTGGTTGGTAGTAACTGCAGCCGTGAGCTTCCCCAAATAAAGACGACTCTAGTTCTACAAACCTTGCCCTCCAATGTTCCTGGCTTCTTGTTCCTTATTTCCTGAGGCACCCACAGCTGGGGGCCACTTAGCACCAGTACTGGACATGGAAAAGTCGAGACTCCTGGATCTCTAGCCAGAGGCTTTGCTAAGGAAAGCAACCTCCATTTGCTCTGTTCTGGCCTACCGTGGGTCTGTGCCTCAGTGCTCTGCCTCCTGGACTCATTGCTGGGCTGTGCACCTCCCTCTTGGACTCATTGCTGGGCTGTGCACTTGCCTCCTGGACTCATTGCTGGGCTGTGCACCTGCCTCCTGGACTCATTGCTGGGCTGTGCACCTGCCTCCTGGACTCATTGCTGGGCTGTGCACCTGCCTCAGGCTGTGCTGCTGAGCTGCAGTCCCCTCTATCTGAATCCTTAAACTGAACGTCCACCTGACCTTCATCTTGTGTCTGCCCCACACTCCTCATGGGTCATTCACAGTCTCCCACAGACCCCGGGGTCCTCACTAGTTCCTGCCTGAGTCCAGAGACTTTTGGGGCCCTAGAACAAGTGAGTCAGGAGCATGGCTGGGCAGACCTACCTCCTCCAGGGTATGGTAAGAGGAGTAACTGAAGCTACTGGTGCTACGCTCCAGCCGGCGGGATTTTGCCATGGTTTCTCTCTCCTCATCCAGAAGAACCTAGGAGACAGAAACACGTGTTGGGAGGGCAGGGCAGGGCTGGGCCATGCCAGCCATGCCTGTTCTGAGCGCTACAGCAGGTGACGGTGTCAACACAGAATGAGCCACTGAGTGTGAGCTGTGCACAGAAGGGGTGCTGGGTGGCTGGGTTATTCTCCCGCCTGCCAAGCTGGCATTCATGCTGCCATTTCCCACAGGAGTCTAGAAAGCTGGATTCTGTGTCTGCTTTTGCCACTTGCTGTGGCCTTAATTTTCTCAGGTTTTTTTTTTTTTTTTTTTTTTTTTTTTTAAACAGGCAGAGTGGACAGTGAGAGAGAGAGAGAGAGACAGAGAGAAAGGTCTTCCTTTGCCATTGGTTCACCCTCCAATGGCCCCTGCGGCCGGCGCACTGCGCTGATCCAAAGCCAGGAGCCAGGTGCTTCTCCTGGTCTCCCATGCAGGTGCAGGGCCCAAGGACTTGGGCCATCCTCCACTGCCCTCCCGGGCCACAGCAGAGAGCTGGCCTGGAAGAAGGGCAACCAGGACAGAATCTGGTGCCCCGACTGGGACTAGAACCAGGTGTGCTGGCACCGCAGGCGGAGGATTAGCCTAGTGAGCCATGGCGCCAGCCAATTTTCTCAGTTTTAAAACTGGGATAGCAGCACCTGCCTTGCCACCTCACAGGATAAAATGGAATAACAGATGCGAAGGTGTTTTTGAGAGGATGCTCACAGTCTGCTGCCAACATTGCTTTTGCCCTCTATACGTACTGTTACGTCAGGTCCAGGCTGAACCACGTGCAGTGATGCCTCTGGGGTGGGGAGAAGAGGGCTTCTCTGACCCCAACATCAACCCTACCCCCAGGAAGCAGCCTAGACAACTGGTATCTAAGCCAAAGCCAGTCCCAATAATTGTTTTCTTTTTAAATATTTATATACTTATTTAAAAGGCAGAGTTAGAGAGAGAGGAGGAAAGACAGAGAGATCTTCTATCTACTGGTTCGCTCCCCGAAATGGCTGCAATGGCCAGGGCTGGGCCAGGCCGAAACCAGGATCCAGGAGCTTCTTTTGGGTCTCCCACGTGGATGCAGGGGCCCAGCCACTTGGGCCATCAACTGATGCTTCCCGAGGTGCATTAGCAGGGAGCTGGATAGGAAGTGGAGCAGTTGAGACTCAAATAGGCACCCATATGAGATGCTGGCATCCCAGGCAGCAGCTTAACCTGCCTTGCCACAAAGCCGGCCCCCAGATCATTATTAACGTGCTAGTGGTCTTCGATTTACCTCTTAACAGTATACCTCCTAAACTGTAGTATAGGTGAACCAAAAGCACATTCTCAGTATACATTTGGCATTGGCACTCAACCCTCATGTGGCACTTAGGACTGACCATGGGGAAGTAGAGGGCCTGGGTTGGGTCGACCACTCACTGTTCAGACTACCCATTCCATCCTGGGACACTTCCCAGCTTAAATCTCTGTGAGATGGGCAGGTGACCTTTCCACAAGCCCGTACCCTCTGCTCTGGTTTGAAGGTGTCCCCCAAAGTTTATGCACTGGAAACACAGTCCCCAGTGCAGTAGGGTTGAGAGGTGCGACCTGCACATGGTGAGTAGGTCATGAGGGCTCCCTCTCATGAGTAGACCATGTGGCTGTGGATTCATTATTGAGAAAATGGGTTTGTTAACAGAAATGAGTTTGAATCTCTGTCTACCTGTCTCTTTTTCTCTTGCTCTCTTGCTTTTCTACTTTTTAAAAAATATTTATTTATTTTATTTGAAAGTCAGAGTTATACAGAGAGAAGGAGAGGCAAAGAGAGAGAGGTTCACTCCCCATTTGGCTGCAATGGCTGGAGTTGCGCCAATCCCAAGCAAGGAGCGAGGAGCTTCTTTTGGTTCTCCCACATGAGTGCAGGGGCCCAAGAACTTGGGCCATCCTCTACTGCTTTCCCAGGCCATAGCAGAGAGCTGGATCAGAAGCAGAGTAGCTGGGACTCAAATTGGCACCCATATGGGATGCTGGCACTGCCGGCGGTGTCTTTACCCGCTATACCACAGCGCCAGCCCCTTGCTTTTCTACTTTCATCATGGCATGACTCAGGAAGAAGGCCCTCACCACATGCAGGTCCCTCGACCTTGGACTTGCCATTCTCTAGAACTATAAGAAATACTCTATTGTCTGTAAATTAGTACCATGTATTCCATTATAGCAGCACAAAGCAGACAAAGACCTCCATATAGTGGGAGGCAGGGCATCCCAGGATTCAGCAGACTGTCCGGTGTGGGATGTGGTTAGGCCCTCCCACCCCAGAGGGTGATGAGAAAGCACCCTCATCAACCCAAAAGGTGCCCCTTGCTTGCAGCGCTAGGTCACAAGTAAGTCTCAATGGTGCCTCAGACTTCACAGTTACCAAGTGTCTCTGTGCTCTTGATCTCACTTGACCTGGTCAGAAGGCCAGATGACCATCTTTAGAGAGAGGCAGACTGGGAAAGTGAAGAGACCTCATGGCAAAGCTAGCAGGTGGCAGAGGTGAGATAAGAACCAGACATCCTATTCCCAGCCTTGGGTTCCTTAAGACCAGCTACCAAAACTAAAGGTGAACAATAACAATATACATACCTACACAGGCCTGTCTGTCTGAAAGCATGCCCATGTATGCAGATGTGCAAAATGTAGACAACAGCTGAAAACTCCATTGTACTACTTTTGCAATTAAAGTTTTTTTTTTTTTTTTGGGGGGGGGGTGGGCAGCGCTGTGGCGCAGTAGGTTAATCTTCCACCTGCGGTGCCGGCATCCCATATGGATGCCAGTTCGAGTCTCGGCTGTTCCTCTTCCAATCCAGCTCTCTGCTATGGCCTGGGAAAGCAGTAGAAGATGGCCCAAGTCCTTGGGCCCCTGCACCCACCCACGTGGGAGACCTGGAAGAAGCCCCTGACTCCTGGCTTTGGATCAGCGCAGCTCTGGCCATTGTGGCCATTTGGGGAATGAACGATGGAAGGAAGACCTTTCTCTCTGTCTCTCCCTCTCACTGTCTGTAACTCTACCTCTCATATAAGTAAAGAAAAAAATCTTTTAAAAAATTTTTTTAAAAAAAAGAAATACCAAGTACCTCTAAGCATAGGAAAATAAGACACTAAAAAGACAAAATACTAGCCTGTTGGGACAAAAGGAATAATAATTTTTTGCTCTTTAAAAATTTTATTATTTATATTCAAAAGGTAGGGGGTGGAGATATTTCTTCTGTCCCCTGTTTTACTCCCCAAATGTCCACAACAGCTAGGGCTGGATCAGGCCAAAGTAAGGAGTCCAGAACTCAACCCAGATATCCCATGTAGGTGGTAGAGACCCAACCACTTTAAGCCATCTCCTGCTGCCTTCCAGGGTGTGCATTGGCAGGGAGCTGGAACCAGGAGTCTAGCCAGAACTTGAACCCAGGCACTTCAATATGGGATACAGGCATCCCAAATAACTTTTTTTTAAAATTTAAGATTTCTTTTTATTTATTTGAAAGGCAGAAGGGGATGGGGGTGAGAGAGAAGAGAGAGAGAGAGAGAGAGAGAGAGACCTTCCATCCACTCATTCGTTACACAAATAACTGTAACAGCCAGGACTGGACCATGCCAAAGCCAGAAGCCAGGAACTCCATCCTGGTCTCCCACATGGGTGGCAGGGACCCAAGCACATGTACCTTCCCAGGTCTGTTAGTGAGGAGGTGGGTGGATCACAAGTGGACCAGCCGGGACTCCAGCCGCTGCTCCAACAGAAGATGTGCGTGCTGCAGGCACAGCTTAACCTGCTGTGCTGCAACTCCACACTCCCAAGCAACACTTCAGCTGCTGCGACAAATGCCCACCTTAGATTAGGATTTTGAGCATTTTTTTCTTTTTTCTATCTTTACACTTTGGTACTGTGCTCATCCTACTTCAGGGAGGAAGGATTTTCAAGTGGATAAGTGGTAGTGAAAGCTAAAGCCCTGACAGCGAACGTGGAGTAGCAGTCACAGTCTTCCCAGGGCTAGAAAACAGCGCTGCCCCCTCCCCCTGCCTCCGTGCTACAGGTGAGGCCACTGCATAGTGACTGACATGTCCACGGGCCTGTCGGCTTGCCCACAACTCTCAAGTTCATAGATTTCAAGGTGGGACGGGAAACTGATGTTTGGGGCTCATTTTATTTGATCTTTGAGCCCTGACTACATGTATACAAGGGGTTCTAGCTGGACTGGGTGCGCTGGGGACATTCCTGCTTGGGCAAAGCTTGGACTGCTGGGTAAGTTAGACATGGCTGGCTGGAGGTGCCCTGCTGCCCACCCTGGGAAGCTCCAGTGAAAGCAATTTGTTTTCTTCCCAGGAAACCAACCCAAATCTCAGCAGCCCACCATGACCAGGGCAGGCCCGCCACTGGGGGCTGGCATCACCAGCTGTGGGCAGCAGCTGCAAGGGGACAGCAGCTGGGCCAGGGCAAGCCTGAAGCGCAAGAGCCCCAGAGGCTTGTTTCCGAGGGGCTGGTGGGGGCTGCAGGGGGAGGAAGACCAGGAAGAGAAACTGGAACAAAAGAACCTGAGAACACAGTCCTTCCCACGTAGCCACAGCCCCAGGGAGCCCCACAGGAAGACGAGCTTGGCGGCAAGTGGGAAGTCAGCAGCAAACTACGAACAGCTCTCCAGACCCTCTCACAGCCGTGTGGAGGGACGCAACCCCTCCGCACACACTGGGGACCCTCGGGCCTCACAGCTGGGCTGTGGGCCCGGGAACGTTCCTCTACTCTGGCCTGAAAACTGCACACGTGTGCTCCCTTCCCGGGGCCCAGGAACGGGAGGGGAGGAGGAAGAAGGCAGACTGATGGCAAGCACAGGTGCTAACTCCAGCCATGCCGGGCTTCTGAGGAAAAACCAAAAGACCAGCTGGCTCAGAAGTCAGCCATTTGCCTCTGTGGAAGCCACGGGGCAAGTAAGGCTTGGTGCAGATTCATTTATGGCAGGAAGGAGAGGGTGTTAAGCGAAGGGCAGCAGGTCCAGGTTGGTGGA